ACAGGTAGGTAAAACGATTTGCTCTACTTAATAAGTTTCAGTAGCAAATCTTTTGACCACTGAGCAATCAGTGGTCATGACAGCTTTTAGTCGCAGCCAAATTTTGTCAGACAAGATGAAGCTAGTTCTGGATTTCTAGTTTTACAATAAAACAGTCTCTTTTGAGGCATCCAAAAATGCCAATTTAAGTGAACATGTTGTCACTAGCTAAAATCATGACCGAGCATTTAAACTAAAAATTAGGGCAAGTGAGTAGTCAGACATGATTGCTTGTAACAGTATGGAGAGGCAAATATAATACTCAAAAAAAGTCGTTTTACATTAAACTAATTCAGAAGATGCCGACTAACAATGAGCATAAGGTGTCCTAGAAGGAAAACGTTTCGCACAGAATTGTGTTCCTTAAAACAAATTTGTTAGAAAATCTACACCTTTGGCATTTCGAATTGATGACGTATCTTTTACTAACAAATATGTTTTGAGCTAGCTGTTGAGATACTCCGAAAAATCCCGAATTTTGACTTTGACACTTAAAATTTGGAAGCATTTAGCAAGATTAAACCAATTCTATGAAGTAGATATCCATAAATAAGCGTGACAACTAAGTCTTATCGTTGTGTAGGCTGTAGTTAAAAAGATGGACATTAAATGCAAGTGCCATGGAGTGAGCGGATCCTGCGAGATGCGGACATGTTGGCGCGCATTGCCCGACTTTCGCTCTGTGGGTACTCAGCTCCGTGAGCTCTTCCAAGAGGCGGTAATGGTAGATTACGTGAACAACCGCCTCGTACCTAAATCAGCACTCTACCATCGCCCGCAGCCCTCTGGGCCACCCCGATCCTCATCGTCAGCTCAGTCTTCGGTGCCCGTCGGAGGTGGCATGGTGGGGCTACCAATGTTGAAGGAGAATGAGCTTATCTACACTACCCGCTCGCCCTCCTACTGCCACCACGATCCCCGCTTCGGTAGCATTGGAACCTACGGTAGACGCTGTAGTGTCGACTCCAAGGGACCTGATAACTGTAACTTCCTCTGTTGCGGTCGCGACTACCGCAGAGAGGTGTTTATTCAACAGGAAAAGTGCAAATGCAAGTTCCACTGGTGCTGCGAGGTACGATGCGAGACATGTGAGAAAACTGTGGTCGTTTCCACCTGCAACTGATGTCTTACGGCACAATCGCATTTACCCTTCCTTCTCTCCTCCAACTACCTCTGTAAATTTAGCCGCTGCCCACTCCTGAACCATATATACCTCGTGCATGCCTCTCCACACCACCTACCGAGTTTAAATGGATCTAGAGGGAAGAGGACACAATTTCAAGCGATTGGGTGGAGTTGTTGTAAAAAGGCCTGTCCATCGTCTAACAGATTTTCGTGTCCCTTTTGATACGCATATATGCCTAAACTGCATTATATTTACAAACACACACGCCCACCTGTACTTGAGACGGGAACAGCAACAGCAACAACAGCAACAGCAATGCGAGCAATACACCGGCGTTGGTGGCAATTGTGGCGTCACTTTTGACTACAAATGCCATTTCCACTACTTTCTTGCGGTTGAAATCACACCCACTATCATCTATTCGCATTCTTAAGATGCCCTACACACCAGGAAACCCACTGTCCCTTTTTATCCACTCATCTCTAATAAAGCAATTTTGCACTAAAAGAATGATGGGGTTTTTAATATGACAACACTTAATCTCGAGAATTTTGCCCACAGGAAGTTAAAATTGATTTAAATTTGTCTCGAAGTATCGTCAAACGTCGTGGAATCGTATCAAACGTTGCGGAAAAAGAAGTCTGTAGCATTTTTTTAGTGAGACGGATTTAAGTTGCGCTTAGAAATTGCAAAATTGCAACAAATGAACAAAGTGGGAAATTATTTAAGCAGTTAACACATTGCCTTGTTAACGGCTGATAGGTGGTTGGGCTAGGAAGATTGCAGTCTTGGATCGTTCGTACCTTGTTAATGTCCATTTATGGGGAGAAGCTCGAAATTGACTGAGCCTGTGACTAGGCAGAAGAATGTTTCAGCGTGTACGAAATGTTTTTTTCCAAAAAATGGTTCTGCCACTAATGAAGACGCATAAAATGCTCATTCGGCATTAATGTTTGATAGTGCTAATAACTTCTGGCGCTTCAACGAACTGTCAGTGCAGCGCTGATCACTTAGGCCGGTGCCATAAAAGCACCACCCTTGGCAACAGACGCATGAATTGAACTGCTTCCTACGATAAGCTGCGTGCACATTATGCCAACGGAATACCACTTTTGACACAATAGGTGTGTTTTGAGCACAACAACGCCTCAGAGTAGATTACACTTAGTTAGCTAGGTGGACAACGAAGTTGGAAATTGAGTTGTGAGAAATACTTTGGTTTAATATTGGTGATAATGACATGGCAACTGGCAAGCTATGATCTCCCATGCTTTGCGGCGTCAAAGAAATGGACTTATTTAAGCTTAGTGCAAAGCATGCGCACCACTTGAAGTGCTTTGACACCTGTAAACAATTCTCTGAGATTTACTGCGCTGCGCTCCTCCACTGTTTGATAACGCGAGACTTGCGACATTAAATGAGAAAGGACGATTGTCCTCGCTACATAACTCTGAAGACAGAGACTACACAGTCGGCTGGGATTCCACAATTTTGCTCTCTCAATACAAATTAAATTCGAACTGAATGACCCAACGTCATTTATTCTATTTTTTCGCAATCTGTTTGGTCATCTTTAATTTTTCAGGGCGGATAGGTGCTCACCGTCATTTGCGTTGTGTTAGTAAAATTACCTTTAATGGCTGCTTGCCGTTTCGGATACCTTTTAAGCATTGGTACTTCACAATTCACACTCGTGTTGACAGAATGTGTGATATGACACCCCTCGGTCAATTTGAGTACACATAATGACTTTATGGTGGTCAAATGGATGCCTTCCTTTGGACTCCTTCGGATGAAATGTTCAAGAATGCACTTAACAGTCCTGCACGGAAGGCTGAGACGGATGTTCTTGCCGCCCTTAAGTGCAACACAAGAATGATGGTCTTTGTTTTGTATTGCATGTGAGGATAGTCAACTTGGAGTGCAGCTAAGTCAAACACTAAAATCTGACGCAGGAATGTGAGTTGATGCCTAGTGGTCTGTGGAAGAATAAATAAGGGCAGTAATTGCCAAGCCGCCCTTTGAGACAGCAAAAAAACAATTATATGGGAGTAAAAGTTTCATTTGACGAAGATGGAGGAGGACAAGCAATTGGAGGTACTGATTAAAACATGGAGGAAGGATATTGCAGCTTCACAAATCCCTGTTTATGCGGAAACGTTTTACCCAACTTGGTGTAAGTAGACACAGCAATTGCACAACGTAAGATGGGCGATAAGCGCATGCACACAAGTCTCCTCACTTGTTAGGTCCTAAATTGGTACAAAAAAATTATTTGAGGGTATGAAATGCGTTCATACTGCCAAATGGACAGTTACAACAGCAGAAACTTTCGTCTAAATCAATTTCTAGTTAAAAAATGTCAAGCCTACGCTTCACAGCAATTATTCTGCCTGTCCTTTCAGAAAGCCAAATGTTAGTGCAATTTTGTTCAAAATAAATCGAATTCAAGGCCTTTGAATCCATTTCCACTGGGTTGGCAGTAAGTTTAGTAGATAAAGCGCAGCTTTCTTATTTCCACTTCTCTTGTACTCAAATGCACTATTTCATGATTTAAGTCATCAAGGTGCGTAAGGTGCTCTTACGAATCGTGGTCGCGTTCTCATTTCTCTCTTATTTGGTCGCTTCAGAAGCCCCATGGCTTGTGTTCACGAGGTAAGGGTTAGCTCGCTTTTGAGGAAGACTCGAGGCGCATAAAGTTTGATCTCCAACGCACTGCCTATCGCGAGTTTGCATTAAATGCAAATGTTAAATTTTAGATGCCATCTTATACAAGATGATAGCTGAGGCCTTTGAAATGCATTTTGACGAAGACTTTGCTCCAAACTACATTGTTGGTGCATCCACAAAATGGCAAACGGATTTCAAGTAAATGTGACCTCTGTCGCGAGGAGTTCTCCAGTGCCGCTGTAAGGGTGAGCGCTTACACTTTTCTCTCGCGAGTCTGGACCCCTCGATAAATTCATTGAAGTCGATGATCCCATCGCTGTTGAAATCCAAGAGCATTGCCAACTTGCTGATAGTTGAGTCAGTAGACGTGAAGCCTTTGTCTTCGTACAGCTTTTTGCACTTTTCCTTAAAGTCGTCAACGCTCACGAAGCCTAAAGTAAGTACAGTACTTTCCAAAGCAACATTTCTCGGTGTCATTACTGCTAAAAGAGGCGGAAAAACGTTAAAGATGACTTAATTACGATTGGCAAAACACTCTGCAAATGGCCAATGGATAGAAATTATCTTCAACACAAGAGACCTTCCATAAAAATTTCGCAGTGACTCACCGTTGCCATCGTTGTCAAACTGCTTGAAAATCGACACCAACTCGTCCAAATCTTCATAGTTCTCACTGGCGAATTTTCGTTTCTACAGAAATGTGGTATGGAGTGAAAGCTGCTATGTTGCTGGATGGAGCTGGCGTG